TTCCCCTCTCACAAATTGCTGCTCTTTGCACTTGCCATGCCATGCATACTTGCTCACATTCTGTCTTGCTCTCTCGACATTTCAGCTCTATGTGTACTCCACTCTGCCTGTATGCTCACTCAACTCTGGCAGAATGTGCTTCAAAATCAGCCAGCTGGAGACTGGAAAAGGCCACGCTCTTAGGATGTCTGCTATGAACACTCCCTGAACCCCTTCCACAGCATCTCTGTTGGGTTAAGGTCTGGGCTCTGACTGGACCACTCCAAAAGGTGGATTATGTTTGTTTGAAGTCATTCTGTTGTAGATTTGCTTCAGTGTTGAGGGTCAGTGTCATGCTGCATCACCCTGCTCTGAGCTTCAGCTGGTGGTCAGCCACCCTAACATCATCCTAGAAGATAAACTTCGGAATTCATGATGGCAGGCCCAGATGCAGCTAAGCAGTCCCAAATCATGATGCTTCCTCCATTGTAGTTCACCTTTGGGATGATATTTTCATGTTGGTATGTAGGAAACAATTTTAATTTAACAAAACCAGGAAATTACTTTTTTAAAAATGTGATTGAAAAGTAAGCATCTCTATCACAACTGTTTCATTGTCTGCCCCTTGAACTAGCTGAAATACTGCAACCTCACGAGTAATTGTCTCTTTTGTTTCAAAACATTTCTTTGTCAGACAAACTGAGACAGACTTTAATTCCCACACATCCTCAAACATTCATTCAAGTTAATCAACAGAAACATACTTGTAGGTGTTTCAAATTTAGGACAAGGGTGTCTGAGTATTGTCTGTGAGCATAAATTGCAACATGCAAATTCTCAAGTGTTTTGCTACAAAAATACCTTCATACATTGTATCCAAAGAGCAGAGACTGTAATTTGCCTATGGTTAACAGAAAATAGCAGCAGCACTAGCACCTTATTTGTAATTTTGTTTCAGTACTCTTGATCCCAAAACCAATCCCCCATTTTTGCTTCACAGATATTGGGGTGGGGAATGCACACTAGATCTTTCAACTTCAGGAGAAAGCAGTTCATGAGAACCCTGTATAATGAGTTTCTTTTGGGAGGTTACTCTGAGAAAAAGTGTGAAATGAACAGCCAAAGTGGAAGCCAATTTCAACTTCCCTGAAAGAAAGCCTTTAATCCGAGATGAATCCTCTTGATCTACAGTAGCACAGGTAGACAGGCCAGGCTCCGGCACAAAGGGGAATCAACTAAATGCCTCTGCACTCTGATACAAGCTGTTCTCTGTAGAGCTTCGCAAAAGACATTGCAATGCTGCTCCAAAACAAGTTAGCATTTAACTCCGTCCCACCTCCTGCCTCCTCTGCACTTGTTACTACTCCAATACTGCTGCAGAGCGCCTGTGTTATTTTCTCATAGGTCAGAGAAAGTCTCCTAGAGAGCTCATGATGAGCTTCATTATTAAGCCAAGCATTTACATCTCCCCCAGCCCAGGCCGAAGCCAGGAGCCCTCTATTTATTTCGTTAAGATAAGACAGATCAGGCTGGAATAGTAATGCGGTGCCACATAGCTCGGAGGGGAAGAGAGCTGGCATTTGGGAAGCAACAGGGGAGGCGGATGGTCAATGCAGGCCCACTTTTTGTTCTCCTCGCATCATTTCTGATTAACCTCTGGAGTGCAGTGCACAGCTGAGCCGCAGATACCTCCCTCCAGCTCTACCTGCTGCTGTTGGGCTTGCCATGAGTATGAGCACACTGAGCCATGCTGAGTTCAAAGAATCTGCAGGTATCTCTGTATCTGTAAGTGTGTGTGTGTATTGAGCATACCTTACATTACATGTGTTGCTGAGTGGATGTGGGGAGAACCTGTCAGGGGGATTAGCCATGTGCTCTGAGGACCTGCTTCTGACATGCAGCTCAGTGGGTCCCACTGACATCCCTTGGTCCTTGAGGAGCATCTGGAAGAAACACTTAGTTCATGTAATTGTGTTGATGAGATGCTCAGTAATATAAAACCTTTGCTGCCCACGCCAGCTTTGCCACAGGCAGCTAAGAGTTGTCTGAAGGGGAAGAGATCACACCTAAACATGACTCAGCAGGCAGATTTTCTCTTTATAGCACTGAAGCACACCATTTGTACTGTCACCTTGACATCAAATGACCATTAGACCTAGGAGTGGGGTGATGAGACACTCAAGCACAGGGAAAAATGCATCAACTGACAAGGTCTTGAACAGTGCTCGACTCATAAGTCTTGATGATGGCTGTAGTGTCACTCATTACAGTGCTCTTGTGTCCTCAACCGTCACATTTCTCAGCATGTAATCATGAGCAAATGTCATGTGAATGAACTGTTTGCGCACATGTGTGTGTACTTAAGTTGATGAGAGGACCTAGCCGCCGTACAGGGCTGGGGGAGGTGACCTTCAGGGGCGGATTGGGTAATGAAATCACAGGGAGGAAGCCCTGATGTGAGGCCCTGCCTGGAAACCCCTACGTCAAGGCTGACACTGATGACCGCATCCTAACTGAAACAAATGTGCCAATTAGGCAGTTCAGTTCTCACATCCTCAGCCACACAGTTACCAGGCTAATTTGTATTTGTCCCTTCATCTTTTATTTTCTCCCACCACCTCCCCCACTCAACTCTCTCTCTCTTTCTCTCTCTCTCTCTCTCCCTGTCTTTGTTTTTCTCTCTTTTCCCTTCTGCTTGGTGAATCGTTTTATCATTACCCATGGGCCGTTAGCAGCAGACAGACAGCTAATGTGCAGCGTGGCCCCAAACACTGCGAGGGCCGGCTTATGCCACACGTTAATTGCCTTTTTAAAGTTGCAAATTTCCCAAGATAAAATTGAAATAAATACATAAAGTGTTGTGTGGGGAGTACCACCACTTGTGTCACCCATTCAGTGACAGATGACTTTAATCATGAGAAATTAGACTCTCTCCCTGAGTCCTCTGCCTCTCTATGTTCTTATCTATCAGAGATGCTAAGCACCTTTACCTCTAATGAAACCTGTGCTAAAGGCCATCTTTTAATTGTAGAGAAGCGTCTGGGAGCCTTTGAAGATTCACTTCCAAGTGCTCTTCAAGGCAAATGGGGGGAAAATAGAGGCTTAATCGTACTGTACTCCGCTAAAAAGAAAAATTCACCCTCCTGCTAAGTGTGGTACAAGTGACTCAAATAGTTGTGTGAAAATACACTGAATACGAGAAATGATCACTGTGTTATGATGTTCATTATCATATTTATTCGTGTCAATATATTTCTGCAATCTGTCATCCCTCAGGTCTGTGTGTCATTTCTATTTACCCTGTGTTTGCATGCCCACAGGCACTTCCCATTTGCATCCAGCCTGAGTATTGTTTATTATAAAGGGTGCCTGTGCGCTTCCTATAAATCCATCAGTTTGGCCCACTCTGCCACACTATGAATGTAATTTGCAAATGCAGCGATGCAGCTCCATTACCAGGGTAGGAGCAGCAGAGCATCACTAAGTTTGTAATTCATAATTAGTTTTCCTCTCTGTTGCTGGTAATTTGTTATAGTGCTTCCCTTGACTGCTTTAGTGTCTGTGGTTGTGCTTCCTAGCTGTGGTCACACAGCAGGGTGAGACTTGAAGGGTACAGCTGGTCAGCATTGATGTGGGTCACTGTACAGTTTGAAGGGTAACATGAGCTCTACATCTCTCTGATCTCTCTCCAAAAACTACAGTATGTGTCTTTTGTGTGTGTTTGTAGTCATTTTTGGACATTCTCTTTGAAGGCATTCATGGTTTTGCAAATGCTCGAAGCAGACTGTAGAGTGAAGAATGTGGAAAGGAGCGCTTGAGAGCCTTACTTTAACCTCTAGAGTCCCTGCGTCCTCATATGAGGACCGCACAGCTTGGGTTTCCAAAGCTCAGGACTCTAGAGGTTAACACCTTCCCACACCTGGCCATTCAACGCACGAGAAGGGTGCGATTATCAATTATCAGTTTCAGGAAGTTATAAAAGTGACCAGACACAGGCCTGCCACAGTGAATATGTGGGTGGTGGGGGTTTCAGCTGTTAGACAGTCTAAGAAGAACTCTGTTTGAAACATACCGAGGCCCTAAAATACTTTCAGATTATCAGTTGTCTTCACCATCTTCACTGTTTCCAGCATAAACACAATGACAGCAAATACTATTAAGGCTGGCAAATTAAGACATAGCTGATGATGGCAAAACATTTTACCATTGTGGCTCACTTATGTGACCATAGCAGGAAAATTCATTATAAATTAATACCTGGGTTATCTGAATTATACACCCCTTTACCAGCAGTCAATAAACATATCAAATGAAGAAAAACGGTCTAGGAGCAACATCAGCTTCAGAATTGTATCATCTAGGCTTTAGAACAATGTTAGTGATATTGGTTAACAGAATGCATCTGTGTCTTGCACAGTCATCCAACACTTTTCAGTTAAAAATCAGCCATTGCAAGCTCAATAATGCAGTTCCTAAAGTACTGAACAGTCATACAGGTGTATTGTATATTTTTATTTAATTAGGCCCATTGGTTAATTGAATTTTACATATGACTTTTTGTGTTATATTCATTGTTACACAGACCAAACTGTAAATATAAAAAAAATCTTTTGAAAAATTAATCTTTGTACTTTAGGTCTTTGGGATGTAAGGCTACAGTTTAAGCTAAAAGTGAAATACATGCAGATTATTTCCCCTTTCTTGGAGAGTGAGTGGGTGTGATTTGAGTGGAGCGGGGTGCAATCTGAGATGAGCGCTGAGCGATAATGAGTGGAGCGACCTGGTTTGGCTTTAAGGTGGGGAGCAGAGCGGGTGAACAGCTCAGTGAGAAAAGACATATCACATTTACACACAGTGCCAGAGCACTGTGTGTAAATGTGGTATGTCTTTTCCTTATAGCCTAAAGTTGAGACTACTTACTGGATAACTACTTATATGATTAATACTGTAGCAAACAGAAGTGCACTGTTTTATTGCAAACATTTTTCATATGTTATACTTTTATTACCTCTTTTGTTCAGGTGGAATGGCTGAAAAATGAAGAGCTGCTGAGTTCCCTCACTGACGACAACATTGACACCCGAGCCGACCACAACCTCATCATCAATGAGGCGCGTCTGTCTGACTCAGGCAACTACACCTGTTTGGCCAGTAACACTGTGGCAAAGAGACGCAGTGCCACAGCCACTGTGATAGTCTATGGTACGCTGTCCTCCCAGCTGCTGACATTGTGTGTTATAACACATTAGAGTGTACTGACACAATGTTTACATGGCAGTTCAAATCAGTTTGTTTGGCTTCCTGCAACCCTATACAAGTGATTAACAGACTCATCTCCATGTTTCCTCTGAAGAGTGATTCCTCTTCATTTCGATGAATGTATTATTCAGAGACTCAATTTACTGCCTCTCATTCGAAATCAATGTGTACTTTATGAAAGGAAATAAGCCACTGTGTCTTAATCTCATTTAAAAGGAGTGTTGCTTATTAAGTATTTATTTGCCAGCGGCCTTCCAGCAACGCGAGTTCACCGGCTTTGACAGCACCGGTAACATTTAGTTTCCACACACGTAAGACAGAGAGATCATAGGGTAAACTGTTTCTGCTAAGTGGTCAGCACCAACCTGTTGACCGGTATGAGTCACTGTCACCTTTAAAAATGGCATTTCCATTTAATGGCTGTTTTCTTTGCTTTCTCTCAGTTCTACCCCTTTATCTTAATCCAAGAGCAAGGAACATTGAACAGGCAATTAGGAAAGAGGGAGCTGCATATCCACCACAATGAATGTGCTGTGCTCAGTCTGCTGTAGCCGTTATGCATTGTTGCCTTGCAGTGCCTCAGAGCCTGCATAATTATTAATAAACCCAGTTCTTGTTAGAGTATTTAACTATGCCAGACTTTGAGAAAGTAATTCATGTTGTGCTAAGTTTAACTCTTCTTCTTTTCTAACTTTGTTGAAATCTTCCCAGTGAACGGTGGCTGGTCCCTGTGGACGGAGTGGTCGCCCTGTAATGTGCCGTGTGGGCGGGGTGTCCAGAAGCGATCTCGAACCTGTACTAACCCTGCGCCTCTGAATGGTGGGGCTTTCTGCGAGGGCATGTCTGTACAGAAGATTACCTGCAATGCACTCTGCCCAAGTAAGTTTCACTTAAACACTGAATTTCTGCATAGAATAAGCACAACTTTATGGTTCAAGTTGTACTTTTCTCTAGACGTCAAAAGTTAATAATACTTGGCTACATATGACGTGTCAACTATTAAAATTCACTGTCAAAAATGTAAAAACAAAGTGGATGACAAAGTACTACTTACTTAGACTTCTATCTCATATCCTTTCATTTGTGGCTTCTGATAACATACTTCAATGCAAGGTTTTTTAAGACACTGAACTACTGCAGCATGTCACGCTCATTAACATCTTAGACAATTATCTATTGCCGATTTCCATGCTGACTTATAATCACTCAAATAAGCATGCATTC